ATTCATATATTAAAGAACTGATCATATTTTCCTGTGTTTTGAGTCACAAGTCCCCCCAACCCCCACCCCAACCCCTGCCACCATTTTACTGATTGTCATCCTTATATTTGTAGTTGAGTTAAGAAATGATTTTTTTAATGAGTTCTGAATTTTGTGTCATGATAGACAGACCTTTCCCTTTCTGTGATTATAATTATCTAATTTTTTTAACATTTAAATATTGATCCATCTGGAATTTATTTTAGTGTAATGTAAGAGGTTAAGAATCAATGACATTGAGTGCTTGCTGTCAACCAAAAATTGTGCTACCTTTCCGTAATATGGAACTGCAATTGAAACATGGCTGCCCAATCAAGGACTACATTTTCAAGTCCCTTTGACTTCCATGTGTGGCCATGTGACCAGTAATCAACTACAGAATGTAAGCAGAAGTGAGGTGTGTCACCTACAGGCCAAGACCTTTAAGAAGTTCTCTGTCCCATCCGCCATCTAGACACAGGCAACAGGAGCCCATTTGAATTGCGGCACCATAAGTTGGCAGGAACTTGGGTCCCTGAATCGCCATGGACAAGATAGCTACTCAGTGACCAGGAACATCCACAGTGACTGTTACATGAGTGAGAAATATACTTCCGTTGTGATAAGCCACTAAAATGTTGGGACTTATTTGTTAAAGTGGCTAATATGGCTTGACCAATGAAGAGTCCCATGAAGAGATAGCTGTCCCTAACCACTCATGTCTGAGCACACTTCATTTTATTCAGTGAGCACTCTGCCCACTGCCAATGAAAGAGAAGTGTTAGTTACATAGCATTTGTAAAGCATCTGGAAGGGAGGTGGTTTATCAGCGGGTGACTTTCAGAGTTAACCACATGTTAAAGTGGGAATTCTATTCAGTGCACCTGTGACATCCACATCACTAGGCCAGACATGGCAGAATCTGAAAGTAAAAAGCAGAAGTATATCAAACCAATCCAGGCTTATTTTAATTCAACTATTAACAACACTACTCCATTTAAAATGAGGCATCCAGGACAAATTTAAATTAGGTGGTATACCAGGACAACAGCAGAAAACCAGTTTGGGCTGCTGGAAACAGAGTTAACAATTGCATAGGAAACTTATCAATGACCTATACTAAGCAAAGTAGGCTCATTTGTAAATATGAATGGATAACCAAAGATTACATCTGAGAGCTACATGAAGAAGAAGCAAGATGAGCTAATAAAATACCTAAAGGAAGTGAACAAGAAATATTTGGTGATTAAGCTGAGGTTGAATTAAAAAATATTCAAGCATTACAGTATGCGCTCTTAGCTGCTCAACATCAGCCAGATTTTACAAGTGCTTGATTTTATGAAGAACTACTTTGAAAATCAAAATAGTGTCCTACTATGGTAGTGAACTGTTTCTGAATGAGTCCTCTATTTATTTTTGTTGCAATTTGTGCATAATCAGTTGTGAATCTTGAATCAAAGTGTTCAGTGAAGGGAACACCATAGAAATTTAAAGTTTTGAAGGCTTAGTAGTAAATTGGAATTATTGAAAACAAAGTCTGTAAATAGAAAGTATTGAAATTGTCACTACATAAGTGAGAAGGAAATGAATAAATCAAACAAGGAGAGGTCAGTGTACCTGATTTAATTTTGAAATTTTATAACTGTGATTTGTAATTTCTGAACTTGTGAGAAAAATTTTTTGATCAGCTTCCATTTTTGGGATAAATTTACATTTTGTAATGAATGGAATGTAATTGAAATGGCCTATTATTTTGCAACATCTCCATTTGGTTTGGCAAACCATTTAAGGTAATCAGAAAAAGAGACAACTTATTTGATGAATTTTGTGTTATAAAATATTTATCTAAAAATGACAATCTCAATAAAATAAAACAGGACAGTAATGATGAAAATATTTAGACCAAAATATTTAAACATTTCCAAACATAGAAGCATAATTAATAACCTTCACATAGCAGAACTTTCCTGAGCTTACCAGGAATCTCACCATATGTAGAAAGAATATGTTTTCAATAAAATATTGGCTACAGAGAAGAGTCTATTGAAGGTGTCAACAAATTCAAATTTATTATTGATAAAATGCAAACTTAGAATATTACAATTTTATGAACCAACTAAAAATAACAAGAACATATTTGAAATTGGAGTCCCAGAAGGAAAGGGGAGAGACAATGTGGCAGAAAAACATTTGAAGAAATAAAGGCTAAAATATTTCCAATTATGATGGAAAATATCAGGCCACAGGTCCTAAAAGCTCAACAATACCCAAGAAGGTTAAATAGAAAAAACACCGTACACAGTCACATCATAGTCAAATTGTTGAAAACCCAATAATAAAGAGAAAAATCTTAAAAGCAACTAGAGAAAAACGTAAACATGTTCCATAGAGAAGAACAATATCACAATGAAGGCTGAATTCTAATCAAAGCATTACATCAAGAAGACCGTGCAATGACATTTTTAAAGTGCTGAAAGAAAAAAACCCTCTCAACCTGGAATTCTATATCCAGTTAAAGTATTCTTGAAAAATGAAGAGAAAATAAAGGTATTGTTTGATTCATGGTCAAAGAAGAAATCACAAGCAAAATGAGAACTTATTTTGAAATGAATGATAATGAACACCCATCATATAAAAATTTGTGGATACAGTTAAAACAGTAGTTAGAAAGAAATGTATAGCATTAAAAGCTTTCTTAGAAAAGAATAAAGGTTTAAAATCAATGACTTAACCTACCGACCACCTTACAATGCTAGAAAATGAAGAAAAAATTAAAATCAAAGTAGAAAAGAAGAAGGAATAAAGAGTAGAAATCAATGAATTGTTAGAGAAATAATAGAGAAAATCAATAAAGCCAAAAGTTAGTTCTTGGGAAAATTTAATAAAACTGATAATCTGTTGATCAAGAAATAAAAGGGATATAATACAAATTACTAATATCAAAAATCGCACAGCAGACAGCACTAGGGACATTAAAATGATAAGAAAATAGTCAACTGGCCACTTAACCAAATGGGTAAATTCCTTGTAAATTGAAACATACCAAAAGTGACCCAAAGAGAAACAGAACATCTGAATGGCCTTATAGTTGTTTAAAAAAAGTGAATTTGAAATAAAAAACATTCCCAGAAAAACTCCATGCCCAGAAGACTTCACTTGTGAATTCTACCAAACATTTAAGGAATGATGACATCAAATGATATCAACCATAAATTATGTATTTCAGAAATTAAAAGAGGAGGATTATTTACCAGTTCATCTTCTGCAGGCAGCATAATCCTGATATCAAAACCTGAGAAAGACATTACAAGAAAAGGGAATTGCATACCAATATCCCTCATGATTCTAGGAACAAATATCACTGACAAAGTATTAACAAAACAAAGAGCAATGTATGAAAATAAATATGCCATGACCAAATGTGAGTCATCCTAGAAATGTTGGTATAATATTAAAAAATAAGTCAACATAAATTGCCACATTCACAGATTAAAACAGAAAAATGACATGATAATATTAATGGACAAAAATTATTTGATAAAATTCAATGCTCATTCATGATAAAACATCTCAGCAAACTAGGAGTAGAAAGGAGCTTCCTCAATCTGACAGAAACAGCTCTGTAATACCTTCTATCATACTTAATGATGAAATATTGAACATGTTTCCTGTAGAGTTGGGAAACGGGAATGATGTCTGCTCGTAGTACATTTTCCCACATTTTACTGGATGTTTTAAGCCAGTGCAATAAGTCAAGTACGAGGTAAAGATTATATAGGAAGAAATAAAATGGTCTTTATGTGACCTTTACATAATTGCATAGGTAAAAACTACTAAAGAATTACAAAAATCTACAAGAACTAATACAGGAACCTAACAAAGTTGCACAATATAAGGTAGGTATACCAAAATCAATTGTATTTTTATGTACTAGTAAAAAAAATGGAAAAGGAATTTAAAATTAGTATTATTTGCAATGCCATAAAAATACTTAGAAGTAAAATCTACCTAAATCTGTAAGATATTCCTGAGAGAAATTAAAGAAGACATAAATAAATGGAGCAATAAACCATGTTCACAGATTGGAAGATTCCATATTGCTAGGATATCTATTTTCCCCAAATTGATCTGCAGATTCACCATAACCCAATCTTGATCCCAGAAGGCTTTTCTGATACATAGACAAGTGATTCTAAAATTAGTATCTAAATGCAAAGATCTTAGAATACCCAAAACAATTTGGAAAGGAAGAAAAATGTTGGACAACATACACAACTTAATTTCAAGAATCAATATAAAGCTTTAGTAGTCAAGCCATGTAGTATTGGCTTTAGTATAGACAAACACATCAATGCAGAGAAATAGAACCACACATAAATTGTCAATTGATTGATTCTTTGACAGAGGTACCAAATAAATCCTTAGCTGAAAGGACAGTCTTTTTCACAAATGACGCTGAGACAAATAAATAACTATTATGAGAAGAAAATGAACCTCTATACATACTTCCCAACAAACACAGATTTATGGATCATAGACCTAAATGTAAAATTAAAACTATTAGTTTTGAGAAGAAAACATAGATGAATTTTTTTGTAACCTTGGAACAGGCAAAGGTTTCTTAGAACACAGAAAGCACTAACCATAAAAAAAATGATAAACTGGATTTCAAAACTTTAAAAACTTCATCAAAATACATCACTAAGAAAATACATAGAAAAGCCCCAGACTGGGAGAATAAATAATAATAAGCTGCACTTTTACATAATAATGCATATAGGAAGTACAATGAAAATAATATTTCATTTATAGTATAATATATTAAATACTTGAATTCCAGGCATAAATTTCTAATGATGAAATAAAAGGAAAAATAACTGGAAAGTTATACCTTATACTTGATTGTATAGATTATAATAAAGATGACAACACTTCCTAATTTAGTAAAGATATTTTAATGTAAGACTAATTAATTTTTCTCAGGATATTTTAAATAACATTTTTAAATGGGATTTCCAAGCCAAGAAAACATGCCTTTGTTTTTAGTTTATTGACTATTCTTAGTAGTGCGTTTTTTATCAGATTGGAATGGGGCAATCAGGAATTCTATGACTGGTAGTTGATTTGTTAGTGGATATTCAAACAAGCCTTCAAAAAAAGGTTAAGAATACTGGAATAAAAATTAGGCCATGAGCAGCCCCAAATACCATGACAAGAAACATAATCTTAAAAAATGTTCTGAAGATGTATGCTTTAGCTGCAGCTAAAACGCACACCCCTATTACTGTTGAAAACGCACTCTGTAACACCGGGTAGCCTAGCTGATACAATGCCTCAATTGTTTTTTGGTTTACTGAGGGCTTTGAACTGGAAACAAATGCATAGGAAATGTGTGCAGAAAAATCGAAAGAAAATCCTATACAAATAACAAGATTAATCATGGATATGGAATCAAGATTGACATTCCAGAATGCCATGAAACCCGTGACTCCCACAATCACAGAAGCAATAGCAAAAGTTACCCACAAGGAACACAGTGGATGAGGAATTAACAATAAGGAAACGATGAACATAGCTGTTGATGCAACAATGACATTTCGAACAGTGTTTTCTAATATTGCAGCATACTGATCAAAATATATGAATGCCTGGTTATACACCATTAGGGGAATCTCACACTTTTCAGCCAGGCTTCGTAACTGGAATAACATCATCTTCTTATTGTTTGCAGAAGAAACACCTATGGTCTGAATGAAGGCCCGGGAAGCAATGATTTCATGTGATGATGAAATATTAATATCATACACAAAAAGTGGAAAATCCATTAAAAAATTGGAAATACTGTTTATAAAAGTATTCTTATCATTTATATCTTGTCTGTTATTTTCCATATATCGCACATATTCTCGTAACCAAAACTCTGTAAGATTTTTATCTACATAGTCATTGTTTTCAAAATCTGCCAGACATTTTTCCAATCTTTGCCTAGCATCTTTATTCCAGTAGTCAAGAATTTCAGTAACAATAACCATAACCCTGGGACCATAATCTGAAAAATATTCTTCATCAATATTAAAATACGGTGTGATGTAGGAATCGTCACTTGCCAAATTTCGAAGGTCTAAACCTTCCTGCACTTGGAAACACCCATATATACTACTTATGATGTACAAAATGTATAAAAGCACTACAAAAAACTTGGACTCGGTGCTTGTGAGAAAAGGGCCAAAATAGTCTCTAAAGAACAAATTCATTGGATGAATATCAGCTTCCTGTTCATCTGGGAGAGAATCAAATGGGAGACAGCAGGACTTTTTTAATGAGGAACATTTTTGGTCAGGAGTTTCTGACTTTTTCAACCAGCGTAGACAGACTACTTCTCTTTTACCATCGAGGGCCATAAATGCTCCAAAACAGGTGATGTTATAAAAATAACAAAAGAGCAGGGTTGTTCCTGTATAGATGCAAAAGTATTGTACGGACCTGAAAGAGGTCATAATCCCTGTATAGAAAGCCAGGACGTTGGTGATGGTGGTGATTGTAATGGACACTGCCACTTTTGAATAGACACTGGACAGCCGCTGTTTTATACTATCCATGAGGCTGGTCTTCTGCCAGGCAGAAATCATAATAAACATGTCATCGACCCCAACACCTGTTAAAAAAAGAAACAGTATCTTCATACATATTAATATCCATTAAAAATTAAACAGGTCAAACCATTTTCTTTGTCCATCTCTTAAGGCCTTTTTATCTTGCGCAATCTGTGCTTGGATGCTACTTTCTTTGATTGCTTCTGAATCCACAACAGAACTCCTTCCTCTGTAGTAACTCTGGGCTTTGTATATACTGCTATTGTTTGCCCATAGCACAGTACACTCTACTCCTAGTCTTCATTTAGGGTGTTTTAATGATGAGTCAGGAAACCTGGTTGCCTGGGTGTTAGTCAAAGCAGGATTAGCAATGTATCTTTGATTTCATTAGATTTCTTGAGAGACCATTTTCTCCCATAAACCATTTCACACTAATGTACAAACACATTGGGCCAACATTCTGTTGCTTAAAATATAAGCTGGACTAATTTGTTTTATAGTTAGCATCTAGCTATCAATGTGGTATGATTTAAGAGGCACAGCATAGTTTATAGACATACACACACATACACACACACACGCAAATGTAGTTTTCCTGCTAGTCTGTTTTTGATACTCGGAATGCTATCATTCAAATTTCACTTACCCAGAGTAAGGCATTATTTCATTAAAATGCAAATATTCTTGAAATCAGAAATATGTACCAAAGTAAATCTTAAGAATCCTTTACCTATTAAGCCCTACTAGGTAATTAGTTCTTTTCCACAATGACGTTTCATGATTGGTTTGGAATAAAGAGGACAGAACGTCTGAAGACTTTGAAATCATCGTTGAAGACTGGGAAAGGAGGACTACAAAGAAGAAAGGAGACTGGAAAGGACAGCCTGAGCATGTTGCAAGTAAATTTCACCTCCTTCAAACTGTCCACTAGAGTTGACACGACTTTCACTCATGGACACCTTTGTTTCCATGTGTATTGCTACAAAATCAATACTTGGAACTGAAATGCTGATCTTAATCTTAATTTGGGGGATCTTCTCCATGGATTACATGGAATGGTACTGGGAATTGCAATTTTGCCTCTAATTCAGACGTTCTATGGGTGTGATCAAGGTGGACGGATCTAAATTGAAACACGAGTCTATGTAGTCTGTCATGAACCACATCCTGACACTCCCACTGCTCAGCTTTGAGGATTTCAATTGCGCTCAGCTGGACAAAAGGGAAGGATCAGAGTGCTAAGGACCAAGAATGAACTCATTGGTATTTATTAGGTATTTAAAAACTAGTTTTATTATTTATAGAAACTTGTTCAGAAATTTTCCTTACACATTTCTCGCTTGAGTTGCTGAAATCACACACAGACACACACACACACACATACTCTCTCTCACACTCCTATGTATACACAGACTATACAAAGTCAATTATATACACTTTCTAGTTATTTATGGCTGTGGAGCACACTAAGTGGTTAAGTGTGAGTGTGTACTAGGAAGGTGTGCCCTGAAGAGCTAGAATAAATAAATTGACATCCAGTATTCAGCCCATCCACTATCTCCCTCAGGAAATGAAATATTATTTCTTCCCAGTTGCTTACTTTCTCAAGCTTATTGTAAATAAATTCTGAAAGTATAGGAAAATACAAAGAAAAAATTGAAACAACTGTAATTCCACCCTTCAGGAATAAGCCCTGCTAACATTTTCATGTATATCCATCCAGAATTTGTTCTATACAAATATATACATATAACTGTATTTCTCTCAAACATCTTGTTTCATAACCAGCATTTTCCATTTAACATTATATATCTACCTCTTCTTAAAGACCGAATATGATTCCAAATTTTTAATATGTTATGTATGAGTTGACCAATTCCATGTTGATACGGGATTAGGTTGTTTTCAATCTATTCCTGTTTTAAACCACACTGAAATGAACACATTTGTCCTACTTTTTGAGCACTTGTCCAATTATTAGATATGGAAATTCCTAGAAGTGGAATTGGTAGGTCAAAGATATTCTCTTTTTTTTTTCTTTGGTGAGGAAGATGAGCCCTGAGCTAACATCTGTTGCCAATCCTCCTCTTTTTGCTGAGGAAGATTGGCTCTGGGCTAACATCTGTGCCCAACTTCCTCTACTTTATATGGGATGCCGCCACAGCGTGGCTTAATGAGTGGTGCATCGGTGTGCGCCTGGGATCCGAACCTGCGAACCCTGGGCCACTGAAGCAGAGCGTGCGCACTTAACTGCTATGCTACCGGGCCAGCCCAAAGATACTCCCTTTTCAATTTTTAATTCTTTTGATTTGTTGGAAAATTGAACTAAAAAAACTGTGTACCAATTTACAATTTTCCCCCAGCAGAACATGAGAGTGTTCATTTGCACACAACCTTCCCAAAACTCAATCTTGCTAATATTTATTAATCTAATAAGAAAACAAGGTGTCTCACTTTTGGTTTAATTTGCATCCCTTGATTAATTGAAAGGTCAAATTTCTTTTCTTACATTTTTGGTGACTTGTATTTTGGATTTTTGTTCTGTTCATGTCCCTTGTCTGTATTTTTCCATTTGAGGTACCAGATTTTTCCAACTCTAAAGACACATAATTCAATTTGATTTTCTTCTTTCCTGACACCTCATTTTGGATCTGTAGAGCCACCTAAATATAGTTATTTTGCTTAATCTAACATAAGCTCCTTCCCTTAACTACCCCACATTCCCACATCCACAATGTGTAGCCTCATGCTTTGTTTTACTCACCTAGAATAAGAAATGGTGAATTTGCAACTATGATCACAAATGGCACCCCAATGTACAACATCAGGCCAAAGCCGCTCACCACTGCCAAGGCAGCAGAAATCACTCCAAAGGCTGCAACCCACATTTTGTTGCGTACACAGTCACACCTGTAAATTTGGAGGGAAAAATCATGGAATTTGTGGTGGTAGCTTCCATACTGAAATTCCATCAATTCATAACATTCTTGACTTGGACACCAATTCAGAAGCCTCTTGGGCAAATTTTCCCATACCTGTCTGCTGGAGACCTTTAATTCCCAGGCACTATCCCAGACCAACTGGAAGAAAAAAAAAAAAAGAGGGAACAGAACGGTTGGGAATCTGTACTTTTACCAAACTATCCTGGGTGACTTACTCAGCTAGCCAAGCACTAATCCACTGACTGGCATTTCAGAACCACAAAGATATATCAGAACACTGCAGATCGTTAATTCCACTCTGATTTTCAAAGGGATGTGAATGGAATACAACAGTAAATGGAGGACAAGCTGTAGCAGAGAAAGTATCCATATCCAGTTATCTTCTCACCCAACCCCTGACTCCAACTAGCCATAAACACAATCCTAAATAGCTCCCGTATTTCAAAGCTCGTTGAATACGTATTGTGGTTAACAAAAGTATGAAAGCCTCCTTCTCAAACATCTTCAGGATTCTCCTTTACTGGTGAAGTGGGCTCTAGAAAAGGTGCTACTAATTGCAAAAAAAAATTGAAATGTAGTTTACTTTGAATAACACAACCTGCCTGTTTCTTTGTTGGACCAACAGCAATGGGAATATATATAAAGAATTTTAAAGTATGGACAGTACTTTACCTCCCCAACAACCACAACATTACACTGTAAAATATTGACAACCGTCTCTGGTTTTATATTTTACTCGTTTGTTAACTGCTTCAAAACAAATGACTGATACCTGCCTCTAGATGTTTCCAATAGAAGAGAGAAACTAAGTTTGTATTGAAGACTAGGACAGTCAACTATGGAAATGGAGCCACTGATTCCAAAACAGCAGGAACATGATTAAAGACCTTCTTCAGGCAAGATCACACTAAAATAGCTCAACTTTCTTATTATAAAAAAAAAATTTCTACACCATGGCTGTATTTCACTTTTTCTCAACTGCTAGTGCTATGAGTTAAATTCAGGGCCCAAAATCAACAAACACATGCACAAATTCCAGAGCAAAAGTAAATTACTTTGTTACAATAAATTTTGATTATAATGAATAGTTTCTTAAAACAACAATATTGGTTTATACGAGTTTAAGATAAGAAAGTAACAAAGATGACCTTTAAAATCAGAAAGATTAATGAGGATAAAAATTACATAAGACATGTTTATTCCCATTCCCTTTTTTCAAGTTTCTGGACTTTTTGGTGTAAATTTTTCAGAGGATGGGGGAGTGAAGTATATTATTGGTTATTGGGACTTGACTTTGACTGGTTGCTGTGTTGACTTTCTCTAAGTGACCTTTATTTTAATGTTCAAATAGATAGTGGAACACTGTAGGAGTTTGGTGAATACACCTGCAGATATTTCAGTTCCCAGCAAGGACCTTGGTTTAAGTACGTTACCAGAATGACCTAGGGGAGTCTTAGAACTTTAGATTCCCTGGAATCCCACTCTGCAGATCCTGATTCTAGAGGTTTGTAGTGAAGCTGCAGAATCTATGTATCTAAAAATTTCCTCATATAATTCCAATGCTCAGGCAGAGTTGGGCATCACTAGCAGAAAAACACTCAATTTTCTTAATTTTCTATTCACTTAGCAGGGAGGGGTTAAATTAGACATTATTATCCTTAGATATGCCTAGTGAGGGACCCACCTCTTCCTTGAAAGGAACCATGTCTATTGTGAATAACGAATAGTTTATAGTGTTTTTGAGAAGGGAAAGATTTTCCAGATTTTATCGGAAATTGATCTCATATCTGGGGTAAGTTTTGCCATTTCCAAAACGTCAGACAATTTTGAAACAGTCTAAAAAGCTCACTATACCACTACTTGCTACAGAATGAAGTTCAATTTGGAGCATAAACTTTTGGAAAAGTCTTACTATTGTTCAAATGACTCCACTGCAAGACAATAAATATGGAACCCTAAAATATGTTCAAATAAGAGCTCTGTATGAGGTAAATGCATGTAGGCAAGGAATAACCTTCATATGTAAGTATGTGCGACAGGCAGGATGAGATGTCTTAGGGACTGTCCAGGAGGCCCACCTAAAACAGAGATAAGAGATTCTCAGTGATACAGAAAAGTAAGAGCAAGAGATGCCCAAGGAACTTACAAAAGTGCTTACAAGAGAATCAGTTTTATATTCAAGCCCAAAGAAGGCAAGTGTTAGACCATCACTCAGCATCTGTGACTTAAGAACTTTCCTGCTCCCTTTCCTCTTCTCCTTGGGCATCCTCCAACTCAGGAACCAGCTTAGCAAGATGGAGAGGAGGAGGAGAAGCGATGGAAGAGGGCTGGCAAGTCCTTTTTTCCCCATTAAGGGCTATGCCATGAAGCATGCTCCACCTAACCAAAGGAAGGAAAACCTTAGCTTCAAATCAAGTTGCCACTTTTGTTTATTACATGGACATGGAGATTTTAATTCTAACTGGAAGACTTTGTGTCCTGTAAGAATGACCACAAAAGTCACAGCGTCTGCCCGAGTTTTCACGGGGCAGAGGAAGAACTTGCTCTACCTACAAAACTTAAAGGAAACAAAGGAAGACAAAAATAAAGTTGTTGTTTATACCTCATGAGTCTTGTATGTTCAATATATTGGTTACATAGGCATAAAAAAAGTCTTCAAAGACAATATAAATCATCTTCTAATTGCCTTTAATACAAGAGTTTACAGATAAGCAAGAATTGATATAAATTTGTATCTTCAGAATCAATTATTTAGTAGAAAAGTTTTGTCAAACCAGTTGTCGGTACCTTGTAGATCCTATACTAATTTAAAGAAATTCTTTATCCTACTAAAATTTAACAAGACTGCAATTTGTTTTCTTTCTTCTCTCCTCCCTCCCTCCTTCCTTCCTTTGTTTTTTGTTTCTTTGTTTGCTAAAAAATGTTGTCTTTCTTTCCAGAATAACAAAGTTATGAGGTAGTTTATTAACTCTAAAGAGGTACCCACTGTGGTTAAGTCCCTTTACCTACTGGGGCCTCATCTTTCTCTACTTTAAATTTAGAGAGTTAAATTATATTATTTGTTCCCAAATCTACCTACACACGAGAATCAACTAGAGAAATTTTTGAAATATAGATTCTCAGATTTAACCCCTAGACATTTGATTCAATAGGGCAGGGCCTCAGAATATGCAGTTTTAGGCCTCTCTTTTTGACTCTGATGCAAGAATCACTGGAATAATATAATCTGTAGAGTTCCTTCTACATCTAAATTCTATTCTTTGCTGATATTTTTCACATTTTTACTTTCTGATCACAAGAGCTCAAACTAATCCTAATGCCTACATAACATTTTTTCAATGCTTAGCAAGGTCAACTCCAAAGCAGAATAATGGAGATACCCAAGTCAGTTAAATTAGAGCCTAATTTTTTTATATAGTTAAATGTACTAGTTCAAATTTATAATAGAAGTAAAGACTTATTTCTTAGTTCTATCATATCTGTCTCCAAATGGCACAATTCATCATAATTGGTACAATATGTAAGGTAAAAAGCATATGCCAAATCAAACAAAACTAGCCACAATTTCTAGTTACTATTCCATTTGATTGCATACAATTGCTAACGGACAAAATTTTTAAAAAGCCATCAGGTTTATAAAATATGTGTTTAGTGCTGGACATCAGCAAAACATGGAGTAGAAATTTCTCAACTCTCGTTCCCCCACAGAAACATAGAAAAAGAAGCAGAAATTGTCAGAATAAATTCTGTGAACTCTGGAAAACAGTCAAAAGTTTACAGTAACCGAACAAGTGCTGAATCCAAAAAAAAAGAGCACTTCAAAACAGTAGGAAGGTTTTGTAGCGATTTTACATGTCCTACCTCACCCCCTCTCTGGTGTGATAGAAGTCTTAAGGTGGCAGTGACCATAAAGCAGCAGGTGTGTTAAAGTGACCACAGTCTTAAAGTGGCAATAGTCTTAAAGCAGCAGCAATCTTAAAGAGGCAACAGCCCACGTTGCTGGTATGGGACTATATCTATGTTTCTGAGGGGAGCAGAGCAGACCTTTTGTAAAATATTTTATATGTCTGTTCTAAACTGTCTGGGGGCTACCTGAAGGAATGATGCAAGGCACTCCTCTGTTTTGTCTCACTCAAAACTCAGATTGGGAAAGCCAGAAACACCACAAGCTGAATTAACAACGCTAACATGCATAGGGCAAAAGATTACAACCCAAACATACAAAAGACTGCCTAAGGCAAAAATGGGAAGCATTTCTCTGGGAATTTAGGGTGTGTATACTGGAGAATTTAGAAAGTCACCCAGGGCAAGATGTATGCTCAGAAAAGACCTGAAAAGACTCTAAGCTTTCACCTAGGGCTGATTCCCAGGCACAGCGTAAGCCTGGCTACGTGTTGAAGGAGGGACCAGGCACAGAACCATTCTGCAAACATTGGGAGAGCTCCTGCCATCAAAGGAAATCTGTCAAAACACTAGCTAAACACAAGCTAAGGAACAGAGACTTCAATGACCACATAAACAAGGAATACAGCCTTGGCAATAACGGTTTAGGAAAGTCACTAACAAAATAGACTACTAAAGTGGGGACATTACTACTGACCTTACAGAAATAGAAAGGATTATAAGAGAATACTATAAACAACTTATGCCAACAAATTGGATAACATAGATGAAATGCACAAATTCCTAGAAACACACAAATGACCTAAACTGACTCAAGATGAAATAGAAAATCTCAACAGATATGTAACAAGTAAAAAGACTGAATCAGTAATCAAAAGCCTCCCAACAAAGAAAAGTCCAGGACAAGATGGCATCACTGGTGAATTTTACCAAACATGTAAAGAAGAATTAACACCAATCCTTCTCAAACCCTTCCAAAAAACTGAAAAGGTGGAAATACTTCCTAACTCATTCAACGAAGCCAGCATTACACTGATCCCAACGCCAGACAAAGACATCACAAGAAAACTACAGATAAATATCTCCTATGAATATAGATACAAAATTCTAGCAGATCCAATTCAATAGCATAGTAAAAGAATTATACACCGTGACAAAGTGGGATTTATCCCAGGAACGCAAGAGTGGTTCAACACGGGAAAATCAATCAATGTAATACACTACACTAATAGAACAAAGGATAAAAACCACACGATCATATCAATAGATGCAGAAAAGGCATTTGACAAAATCCAACACCCTTTCATGATAAAAACACTCAAAAACAAGGAACAGAAGGAAACTTCCTCAAAACGATGAGGGCATTTATGAAAACTACACAGCTAATATCATACTCAATCGTAAAGGACTGAAAGCTTTCCCTCTAAGATCAGGAACAACGTAAGGATGCTCACTTTCACCAATGATATTCAACATTGTACTGGAAGTGCTAGCCAGAGCAATTAGACAAGAAACGGAAATAAAAGGAATCCAAATTGGAAAGGAAGAAGTGTAACTATCCCTTTTCATAGATTACATGATCTTACGAAAATTCCAAAGAATCTACAAAGAAAACTAGAGTTAATAAACAAATTCATTGAAGCTGCAGGGTGCAAGATTAACATACAAAAATTAGTTGTGTTTCTATCCATGTGCAATGAACAATTCCAAAAGGAAATTAAGAAAGCAATTCCATTTAAATAGTGTCTGAAACAATAAAACACTTAGGAATAAATTTAATCCAGGAGGTGAAAGACTTGTACACTGAAAACTACAAAACATTGGTGAAAGAAACTAAAGAAGACCTAAATTAATGGAAAGACATCTTTAGTTCATGGAGAGAGAGACTTAATATTGTTAAGATATCAATCTCACCTAAAGCAATCTACAGATTCAACACAATCTCTATCAAAATTCCAATGGCTTTTTTTTTTCCGAAGTGGAAAAGTCAACCCTCAAATTCATATGGAATTGCAAGAAGCCCTGGATATCCAAAATAATCTTAAAAAGAAAAAAGTTGAAGGACTGAGATTTCCAGATTTCAAAACTTATAACAAAGCTACAGTAATCAAAACAGTATGGTACTGGCATATTGACAGGCATATAGACCGACGGAATAGAACTGAGAGTCCAGAAATAAACTCATACATCTACAGCCAACTTATTTTTGACAAGGATGCCAAGTGCAATCAACTGGAAAAGAACAATATCTTCAACAAATGGTGCTTGAGAAACTGGATTTCTACATGTACAAAAATAAAGTTGGACCCCTATTTCACATCACGTACAAAAATAAATGAAAAATTGATCAACAACTTAAGTATAAGAGCTAAAACCATAAAACTCTTAGAAGGAAGCACAGGGTAAATGTGCATGACTTTAGACTTGTCAATGGATTCTTAGATATAACACCAAAAGCATAAGTAGCAAAACAAAAAACAGATAAACTGGATTACATCAAAATTAAAAACTTTTGTGCCTTAAAGGACATTATCAAGAAAGTGAAGAGACAATCTACAAAGTGAGACAAAATATTTGCAAATCATGTATCTGATAAGGGTTCAAAATCTAAAGTATATAATGTACTCATCAGCAACAGGACTCAACAACAAAAACACAAACAACCCAATTGAAAAATGGACAAAGGACTTGAATAGGCATTTCTTCAAAGAAGATATACAAATGGCCAATAAACACATGAAAAGATAGTTAACATAATTAGTAATTAGGGCAATGCAAATCAAAACCACATGAGATACCACTTTGCACCTACTAGGATGGTTATAATCAATAAAACAGAAAATAAGTGTTGGTGAGGATGTGGAGAAATTGGAACCCTTATACATTACTGGTGGGCTATAAAATGGAGCAACCTCTGTGGAAAACAGTTTGGCAGTTCTTCAAAAAGCTAAACATAGAATTATCATACAGCCCACCAATTCCACCCCTAAGTATACTGAAAAGAATTGAAAACAAGGACTGAAACAGATATTTGTATACGAATGTTCATTGCAGCATGATTCATAACAGCCAAAAGGTGGAAACATTCCAAGTGTCCATCAACAGATAAGTGGATAAACAAAATGTGATATATTCATACAATGGAATACTATTCAGCCTTAAAAAAGAACAATGTTCTGATACATGCTACAACATGGATGAACCCTGAAAACATCATGCTAGGTGAAATAAGCCAGTCCCAAAAGGACAAATATTGTATGATTCCACTTAAATGAAATCTCTAGAATAGGAAAATTCATACAGACAGAAAGTAAATGAAAGGTTAAAACCAGGACTGGGGAGATGCAATGGGGAGTTAGTGCTTAATGGTTACAGAGTGACCCCATCTGTTTGGGGTGATGGGAAATAATTGGAAACAGATAGTTGTGATGGTTGCACAATAGCATGAATGTAATTAATGCCACTGACTTATACACATAAAAATGGTTAAAATGGCATATTTTGTTGTACATATTATATATATTTTACCACTATAAAATATTTTTTAAAGCAAGAGTTAAAAAACTAATAAAAATGTTTTACCTGTAGCATGATATGACTGCAAACAATATGATTAGAAGGTATGCCAAGTGAAACAAAGGGATCACTGTCATAGAAGTTGCCTCAAATTCCAGTTCTCGCGAGAGTGATGTAAAGTAGACCACCTGCCGCAAAAATATACTCAGATAAATAGCTTTTAATTCTAATATTTATGTGTGAGTTACAAACACTATTGAAACACTCTAGTTTATTGATTGACATATATTAAAATTCAGTCAAAGATCAAAATACATGGATTAAGATTTTAGAATAAAGAAGATAATAAAGATTTCCTTTTTCCCACAAATCTATGGCATGCTTTCCAAAGTTTCTTTCACAGATCCAAAGTTTAAAACTCCTGAATATACAAAATCTGAATTTCATTTAAACTGTGAAATCATTAATGACTGTACAAATTGTGGCTTTTTCTAAATTTTTATTAGGTTACTATCTTTTACTATTTTAATTGCATAAATGTCATTTCAGAAAGGCCCGAAAAGTCTTTTTCCAGTAGGGTGTCTCACTTGCACCAGGCTGATTCAGAAGTATTAGTAGGTTTGCTGGCCCAACTATTGGACAGCTAACATGGCTGAGCTAGTTAGATTTTTCAACAACACCATAGAACTTTTGCTTCAAAGTTTGTTTTTTGATTCCAATGAACTCCAGATAAGTTTTAGGTGGCTCCCAGAAACAGCAAAAACTTTAACTAAAAGTAAGAAAAAGTAATTTGATTAGAAAACCAAACCTCAAACGTAAACCTGAAGAACAATGTGTGTACTGAACAGACCTACTTTGAGGATGTAGGATTTGTGTTTTCCACCAGAATATTACCAAGGATTTAAGATTTGTGGCATCCTTCCGGGTGCTAGTTTAAGAAAGCTGGATTAAGCACCAAATACGGTAAGGACACTCAGCTTCAAGTCAAGGACTCGTCAAATGAATAGTCAGAAGGGTTATTGCGATGGAACTTGGACCAAGTCTTTCCTTATCCCTCCCACTTTCCGCTGCCCTCCCTATAAATCCCAGCCGCCAGGTACCTGGATCTTCTTCAGGGCCAGACTCTTTTCAATGCTGCTAAACTGGTTCAGGAAAAGGATCAGCCACGCCTTGCTCCGCTCGTTGTCCTCTCCGTCCTCAGTCTTCAGGTAGTACAGCAGCCGCATGGCTTTAGCCTCCAGGAGTAACTGGTTCGTTCCTACGCTCTCGCCTAAGACGATGCCTCCAACGAGGCTGGCGAGGTAGAAGGGCTGGCCGTTTTGGTTGCAGATGGGAAAGGTGATGTTTTTCAGGTTGAGGCTATTGTTCGCCCGCCAGGCGGCCAGAAGTGGGTTGGAGGGCACGCAGTGGCCCTGGTTCTTGGCGCACGCCTGACTGTAGTGGATCCGCGTTCCGTCTTCCTGTGTCACATACAGAGCCTGCACCGCGTCGTCCAATTTACTAACTTCTGATAAGATTTCTTGTTCCAGCAGCGAGGCAGTGTTGGAGACCACGAGAATCGACGCGAAATTGACCTCGGTGCTCTGCCTGGAGGCGGAGAAACGATAAGAGTCGTTGGTGGTGAAATGTCCCCGCACAAAGCGCCGCTCAGCTTTGGCCGGGCTGCCGATCGGAGTGTACTGCTCCTCGAGGTCTTCATCTTCGTCCTTGGGCAGGTAAACGAAGCCAGTGCCGAGAGCGGCCGTCAGCACCATCGGGGCCAGCAGGAAGATCCAGGGGTGCGAGCCCACCTTCCATCCCAGCCATCCGAAGGCGCGGGAGAGCGGCGCCTCCAGGCAGTCAGTGCGGCAGCGGGCGCTCGAAAACAACTGATTTCCCAACTGTGAGGCCGACAGAGAGGAATCCCGCCTCGCCGGCACCGGGCCTGAAGGTGGCTCCTGCGCCGACGCCCCTGGTGGCTCTGCGCTCTGCCCGGAAGCCCAGCGAGCCTCGGGTTCCTGTCCCTGACTTGACTCCAAAAGCCGCTCCGACTCCTGCCTTGAGGAGGGGGGCGGCTCTGACTCCTGCCCTGCCCCCAGATCCCACCCGCCCGGGGGGTCTGGCGCAGGCCCCGCCTCCGGCTCCCGCTTCTGTGACGCTGACTCGGGCTCCGGCTTCCCCTCCGGCTCCACCCCTGGCGCAACCTTAGAGGGGCTAAGGCTCATTTCCCGGAAGGAAAGGCAACGTTCTCAAACAGGACAGCAAACCGAAAAGTTGCTGCTGGACGGAGCGTCCATCTCCACCCCACCCGACGGTTTCCTTGAGAAATTCTAAGGAAGTCTGTTTGAGCTCGGGCTGCTCGCGCCCCGGATGCTGGAGGCTTCGTTGAGGAGCACGTAGTTTGACCCTTAGCCCAACTAGCCCCAACATTTGTCTGTGGTGTGCCTATCCCCTCATAGTTGCTACTACAAGAAACACCTCTTAAAGGCGAATAAAATGCATGCCTGTCCTGTATGACTCACAGTTTACTGGGAGAATTTGGCTTGTTCACAGGCACACACACACAAATGGCACAGATATTACGTGTGTTCTAAGTAGCAACTTTTACCTTTCTGAGGATCACCCAGGAGCACTGTTCTCAGGGAAGTCTTTTGTGAACCTGGTACACTTAATTGTTATTTTTATTCTCTAACTACAAACGTAAAATGTACATACATTCTCCTTGTAAAAAGTTAGAAGTAATTACATAAAATGAAAAGTGAAAACAAAACAAACCAAACACAACCCTAAACCTTCTTTCTATGCCATTCCTTTTCTTAAAGGAATTGTTAGAAAAAATGGGTGTTTGTCCTTACAAACCCCTTTCTATGCATTTACAGGCATATCACAATATATGCAAATATCTTTTAAATAAATTTATTGTATTATTATTGCATGCAAATTGCATTTCACCTAATAAGTCCAAGGATCTTAGCATGTTAGTGCATATAAATTTATCTTATTCCTTTGAATTGCTCTATAATTTTCCAATGTATGGGTGAAACAAAAATTAATTCGCCATAATCCTATTGATAGATCTGTGGGTTGTTTAGAGTCTTTTGCTGTTATAAACAGTGCTAAGTGAATGAATGTCTTTTATTCAGAGCACAAGACAACTGTGAGATAACTTTTTAGAAGTAGTTTTATTAAGCCAAAAGATATCTCCTTTTAAATTTCAAGAGCTATTGATTAATATCCATAGAAGTGTCAATTTACACCTTCATATAAGTGTATAAGTTTCTGGTTTGCCACAGTCTATCCCCAAATGTCAGTAAAGTGTTTGATTTGATCTGTGTTAGTAAAGTGTGTGATTTGTGCCATTGGTATCTTATTTTGGTTTTATTTTTAATATTTTGCTTTGAATCATCATATTTCCTCTTTGGGTGAACTGTCGTCTTACATCTTTTTCTGGTTTTCCTTTTGGACTGATGGGATTTTCTTCTTGATTTAAAAGAACCATTCATATATTAAAGAACTGATCATATTTTCCTGTGTTTTGAGTCACAAGTCCCCCCAACCCCCACCCCAACCCCTGCCACCATTTTACTGATTGTCATCCTTATATTTGTAGTTGAGTTAAGAAATGATTTTTTTAATGAGTTCTGAATTTTGTGTCATGATAGACAGACCTTTCCCTTTCTGTGATTATAATTATCTAATTTTTTTAACATTTAAATATTGATCCATCTGGAATTTATTTTAGTGTAATGTAAGAGGTTAAGAATCAATGACATTGAGTGCTTGCTGTCAACCAAAAATTGTGCTAC